TATAATACTATTTATCTTAGAATTACTTCTGTTCAGTATAAGTTCACGTTTACAATTTATTACAATTTTAGAATAATTTTCTGCAAACCCTAAAATCTTATTTAAAGGTACAGTAGCACTAAAATCACCGTTTTCACTTTTAAATCCATCCATATCCCAACCCCACAAAGCTGCTACTTTATTTTCTGCTTTATTCATTGAAATGTATGATTTAATTGTTGACGTTATACCAGATTTTTAATACGATCTATTTCGATTCCATTTATCTCATACCTAATATCTTGAAACAAGAACATAATAGGATTATTATTGAACGTAACAGGTTTTTTAATCTAGTTTCCATCTTTGCTGAAGAGCTTTGCACGACTTTTGATGTAAATTGAACTGGCTGATGGTAATACATATATGTCTTGCTGATGCGGCAGTATGCGGAGACTTTAATATCAATCTCCTGGAAACTTCTTCCATCAGTATTAAATTCTGTTCTTTGTTCAAATCCTATAATCTTAATAATTTATTCTTTGAAGCTACACGTATTGCAGGGTGTAGTGCAACTTGTATTGATAATATTTTTACAGGTATTGTACCAATCAACAAATCAATAATTCAAAAACTTAGTTCAGATCACTGTGGACAACTGGTTTCGTTACCTTATATGCACAAAAAACAGGTAATTGAGAAAATTGTGTTTGTTCCTATTAATGCAAAACGCCTGGAGAGATTTAGAAGTAATATGTTAAAAATCCTTCCATCCCTTTCTTATAAGAACAATGCAGACTATTTATATGGAGAACTATTTACCTTTATAAACAATGCACTTAATAAAACATTCACTTCTAAAACATTCTCCAGAAACAGTCGCAAGGCATTTAATGAGTGGGCGACAGTAGGAATTCATAAAAGCAGACGAAGGTTATATGACCTTTACCATGAAAGATCGTATAATCTTTCTAATGTTTTTAAAGAATATGTAAAAAATTATTCTAAAATGTTTAAAAGAGTTTGCTCCACAGCCAAATCATTACATATTAGTAACAAAATTAAGACAGCTAAGAATAAAATTAAAATGACGTGGAGTATAATTAACAGCGAAACCGGTAAAGACAAACCTCGTAACTCAAACTATCAATTAAAACTTAATAATGAATTGACTAAATCAAATCAAGAAGTTGCAGCGGTGTTTGAGAAATATTTCACTGATGTTCCTATCTTGACAACAGAGTCATTGAATGCTTCTCCAACTGTCGCCGAATCATTACTTAAACAGAATGTTAATACCTGTTTAAAAGAATTTAGATTTGAAAAAGTATTACCGCATAATATTGTAAAATACTTCAAAACCATTGATGTAAAGAAAACCGCAGATTTGTGGGGGATTTCCGTTACAGTGATTACGTCCATAATAGATTTAATTGCACCTCATCTTGCTATTATTTTAAATACTTGTATCGATTCTGGTGTGTTTCCTGATTTAATGAAGTATAGTAAAGTAATACCTTTATTTAAATCTGGTAGTACATTGGACCCCGCCAATTATAGACCTATTTCTGTACTACCAACTCTCAGTAAAATTTTTGAAAAAATAATTTTGGATCAATTGTTATTTTTTTTTAATACAAATAAATTACTTCATAAAAATCAATTTGGTTTTACAAGGGGTCGCTCGACGTCTGACGCCGGTGTTGAGCTTATAAATTATATTTTTAATGCCTGGGAGAATTCACAAGATGCCTTAGGTATTTTCTGTGACCTTTCCAAGGCTTTCGATTGTGTTCATCATGATACATTAATCAGGAAACTACAACATTACGGTGTAAAAAATTTGGCGCTTAAACTTATTACTTCATATTTAAGTAACAGAACTCAAAAAGTCGTCATTAATGGTAAATGTTCCTCCGGATCGGTAGTTCAATGGGCGTTCCTCAGGGCTCGATTCTTGGCCCATTCCTGTTCTTAATCTATATTAATGACTTACCTTATCTTGTAGGGGACAATCACGATATAGTATTATTTGCTGACGATACCTCTTTCATTTTCAAACTGAAACGGCAGTCAATTAAATATGACGATGTAAATAATGCTCTATCGAAACTAGTACATTGGTTTAACGCCAACAATTTGCTCTTAAACGGCAATAAGACAAAATGTATTAAATTTACAATACCTAATGTAAAACATTCGAAAACCAATGTGCTCTTAAATGGGGAGGAGTTGAGTCTTGTGGATACCACTGTTTTTCTCGGTATTACTATTGACGCGAAACTTCAATGGGGCCCCCATATATCTAAATTAGCAAGCAGACTTAGTTCTGCAGCATATGCTGTAAGAAAGATTAGAAGTCTCACAGATGTTGAGACATCTAGGTTAGTGTATTTTAGTTACTTTCATAGCGTAATGTCTTATGGAATTTTGCTATGGGGTAATGCGACTGATATTGAAGCTATATTTGTTTTGCAAAAGAGAGCCGTACGGGCGATTTATAATCTAAATTGTAAAGAGTCCCTTAGAGAAAAATTTAAAGAAATAAACATATTAACTTTGGCATCGCAATATATTTATGAAAATATAATGTATGTACATAAAAACATAAATAGCTTTAATAAGAATTAGGATGTTCATACCTTAAACACTAGGAACAAACATAAGCTTGTAATGCCACTTACAAGACTCCACAGAATTAGTAATTCATTTATGGGGCAATAAATGTATACGCTTTTACAACAGAATCCCAGAACATGTTCAAAGTTTGTCAATAAACAAGTTTAAAAGTTTTATTAAAGAAAAACTGAACAAAAAGGGTTATTATAATATCAAGGAATACATGAATGAAAGTAACCCCTGGGAATAAGGTGATCGCCACCATGCTGGTTCTATGAAAATTCATTTAAAATTGTATAAACAAAATTATTGTTAAGTGAAATTATGTTTAAAAAAAAAGTCCCGCTGGGTTTCTTGCTGGTTCTTCCCAGGACAGAGGTATTTTCCGAACCAGTGGTAAATAAAATAATGACCTTCAATAAGTATTATGTAATAATCCATATTGAATAAAAATCATTCTATTCTATTCTATTCTAAAGATGTATGGGAATTCTTATTTCATCGTTTTCTCTAAAGCTATTATTATATGGATTATAAGAATGAACTTCATAACTTTCAATAAAAGCATCGAAGTTTGGTAAGTTATTAATCTGTAGTATATTCATACTCTAAATCCTAAGGACTTTAGAAAATCGTTATTATTTTTACTCAAGGTCTTAAATTTTTTCTCACGTCTTCGCACCTTAGTGAGTGTAGGATTAATAGGGCGCTTTAAGTAGACTGTAGGGTTTTTATAGTGCAATATCATTTTACTTTCCTCAAATGGAGGCGAATTTCAATATATTGTTCTTTGAAATTAATTCTGTAGCCAAATTAATCTAAAACTTTAATAGTTATAGATGTAATATTATTTTTATTCACAGGGAAGTAAATAAAGTTCTGAGGTATTTCTATGTATTGATTATCTGCAGCAGTTTTAGATACAAATTCGTGAATAATATAAGTAGGTAACCCGTTGCAATATGATCCGTATATGAGATCACATTCGATTCTGATCACAGATGGGAGCTTGCTATCAACATAAGAATATTTTGTTGTTGAGTTTATTAATGAAACATATAGTAAACCGCACTCGTATTGACCTGATAAACTCAAAGGCGGTTGAAAGTAGGAATCCAATTCTGATTTATTTCCTGAGATAATAACCGTTATAGACATGCTTGTATACTGAGCAATTTATGAAGTTCTTGTTTATTTTATGTCTTGATTGCGCCAAAAATTCTTCAAAAAAATCAAACAAAGATGTCCACAATTAAAAGGATGATCACGCTGTATGTCATCATAATTATAGTGGACTTTAGGACCTAAATATTTTATCAATTCCATTGGAGGTTTAAGATTTCCATAACTGCCGAAATATTCAACATAATTATTAAATTTTACATTGGCTACCCAATGAGATCCCGGATTTGAGGAAATATATAAATTTATAACTCCACTTTCTTTTTTAAAAGGATGTGTTGGAAGCTCATCTCTCATAAAGACACCTCGAAAATAGGGAATATTTTTTCCATACTTTAAAATGTCAATGTTAGTTAAGGCGCGTTCGGGTAGCCTATTTTCTAGTTTTTTATTTCTTTAGATACAAAAATGCCAAATCCATTTTTAAGAGGCTTAAACTGTAACACATTTCCGATACAAATAGCTTCCATTTTTTCATCGTGTCTCTTCAATTCAGCAAATTGGTTTTTAGCTATATTTCATTTCATTTATAGTTTCAAGTATACCAGCTGCTCCACCTGCTAAGGCTCCCGTAGCCGACCCACCAGTTTTTGGTATAGGAATAATGCGAGGAAGTTTTATAACAGAATTATCAACTAGTTCTCTAGCAGCAGCTATAGCTAGCTCAATTGCTGCTTTCTTACATTTTGGTTTTAATTTTTGCATTAATCTTTTCTTTTTTGTAATGATATTCTTAAACTTAATTTTAAATTTATTCCCCAACTTTCTCGGAGACATTTTATTACTATTGCCATTATTTAGGCCAGCTCCAGTTTTAATTTTTGATTGCATAGCTTTGCTTACTATCTTTGCTGCTAACTTTTCTTCCAAATTTGCAACGGGAGCAATCTCTCGTGTTTTTGCCATTTTTAACATAGCTAAATCCGCCTTATGTCGATCCTTTAAGTTTGAATATTTGTGATACGCAATGTCGTGTTCTTTACAATATTCGTCTAATTTGTTTATACATTGACTCCACGTGATAGTTTTTTGATTAAATTTGTACAAGGACCACAATAATTGTATCCCGGTAAATGTAATTCAAATGGTAAATTATTAATCAACCAATTGAGAAGACTACTCTCACCAATGCACATCATAAGACTGTTTAATCGCGCTTGGGATATTTGTTAAATATACCATTTTTTCTTATTTGTTAAACACAGTGGTCAGTAAGCCTATTACAATATATTTGACTTATCGATCCAACTGTTTTCACTAGAAGACAAACCTAGCCATTTTACTAAAACTTTATTTCCTTTCCTTCTTAAAACTTTTTCGACTAAATATATGTTTGGATTTTTGGTTTTTTGTAGCTATTGCGCATAAAATCCTCCTAAAATTGGTTGACCTCTAATTGTATCTTCAATTAAGTAAGTGGTTGGAATTGTGTTCTGAAATTTTCGAATTTTAAATATTTTTGTCGATTTCGAGTATATCCATTTTCGAATGTACCTTTGTATTTGCTTATACGCACATAATCACCTACTTTAAACTTACGTTTTTCATTATCATTCTTTACGTTCTTACGTTTTTTACTTTTATTATTAACATTGGCTGGAATTTCACCAATAGTTTGATGATAAGTGTGATTGTATTCGTAAATAACATTATTAAGAGTATCGCCTATCCAGTTATAATTACCCTGTAAACTAAATGCTTTATACAATTTAGATTTCATAGTTCGAATAAATCGTTCAACTATGGACGCCTTCTTTGTTGAAAAGGCTGAGTAATGATAAATATTAATAGAATTCATAATTTTTTTTACTTACCGTTATAAAATTCTGTTCCATTATCGGTTTGTAGATTTTTGGGTACACGTGTTTTTAGGAGCTTCATAAAATTATAGCATAAGTCCTCTTTACTTTTAGTCTTAATTGGAAAAGCCCAAGCGTATTTCGAAAATGTATAAATAACGGTAAGAATAAATGTGAAGTTTTTGTTTTTCTTAGAAACTGATTGCATATCAATTACGTCTGCTTGCCATAAATCATCTATATCTTTCGTAATAACATTTCTTTATGGGAAATTCACCCTAGCATTTCTATGAATTTCATTTACTACATCGGTTTTACTCATGTTCAAAAAAATAATGTATTTTATTTTATTCTTATGTTGGTAGTTATTAAAAATAATTCGTTTATGCTGCTTGTTACTAAATAAATACAGACAATTTTTTAGTAATTTGCAACATGAGCAACTTCACCAATACTGAGTAAAAGCTAGTAATAATTAGTATTTTATTCCTTTATAATGTTAGCTTCTTTTAATTCTTCAACGATCGATAAAATTTCATTATCATGATTTGTATTGCCCGCATCTCTTGAAGCTATTAAAAGTTTTAATCTATCAACTTATTCCTTTGGATCGTCCCAATATACAATATCAGTGTTGATTTTATATGTCTTAAGCTTAGGTAAATTACCTCCAAACTTTTCTTCGATTTTTTTTATATTTGATTAAGGTCTCGGAAAATAGTGGTTTAATTATTTTTCGATATTTAATTCCATTATCACCTCTTATTTGACTTCTAGGGTTAAAATCTCTCTTATGAGCGTTAGTATGGTGTAGAATATCTTTGTACACGAGTTTATCAGCGCTTGATACTAAATTCAAATCAGGTTTTTTTTCTAAGTAGAAGTTCTCTTAACCCGATAGTTAAATTGTAAGATTTGTCTCCAATTTTTACTAAAAATACAGTTTCGTTATCCAAACTGTCAATTTTAGAAAAAGTAACTTCTGAATTTCCCATCATGTAAGTTTCCTTTTCTTTTCTTATCCCAAATGGTATATTCAATTTATCATCGTAAATATCATATTACCGTGTAGTGGCGGTCAAGAATATCCACTACCTCATATCCTCCCGTGGCGACCCCAATAAAAGGCGACAAAGGGAAACAGGCAGGAGATGGGCAGCAGCATCTTCTTGATAACAACAAACTAACAATAAAAAAAACTGCGGTTGCCAACCCGCTCGCCAAGCGTGGCAACTATGGCAAATACCCCCCCTATGAATGACAGTAACAAAGAAACGGCTCCCAGTCCCCGGCGGCCCCGCTATTCCTGGCTACGGTGGCGACCATGGTAACGGCGGGGCAGGGGGTGCTAAGAATCTCCGGTGGAGGTTCGGTTGCCACCTTAGACGACTCGACCTGGCAACGTACAACGCACCCACCCTGAGGACTGACGAGAAGATTGTGGAGCTGGAAGAAGAGATGGACAAGTTGCGCTGGCATATTATAGGATTATCCGAAGTCCGAAGAGAGGGGGAGGACACGGTAATCCTCGAATCCGGCAACTTGCTCTATCACCGGGAGGGCGACCATCTGTCCCAAGGAGGTGTCGGATTTATCGTCCACAAATCTCTCGTTAACAACGTTGTAAAGATCGGTAGTGTGTCGACGAGGGTTGCGTACCTTATACTCAGAATCACTAAACGGTATTCGCTGAAGGTCATACAGGTTTACGCACCAAACTCGGCACACTCCGATGAGGAGGTGGAGGAAATGTATGAGGATATCTCTAGAGCCATGCATTCCTCCAAAACCCAATATACGGTGTTAATGGGAGACTTCAACGCAAAATTTTCAATTTTTTTCAATTTAATTCTTTATTTGCGCAATATGGGTACAGATGGTGTTACAGTGGTCAGTTTACATTGTTGATCGCCATATTTAGGCTCATGCCATGCAAAAATTCTCAATTACATGCTATAGTTTAAATTAAAATTATTACAAATTACAGTGTCGAAATAATTATTAAAAATAATGTCAAATGAGATTACCTAATTAATACACAATCTCAACTTTGTAAAATAAATGTCACATAAAATGTCTAATTAATATCACAGTACCACTAAGCCAGTTACAATACTACATCTAATAAATTGTCTTCAAGAAATTCCCTTACCGAATAATATGATTTTTCTAAAAGTAGTGTCTTCACTTTTTTTTTAAATAAATTATTATTTGAAATTTCAAGCAGAGAGTTGGGTAAATGATTATACACTCTAGGAATCATACAAAATACACTGCTGTTTAAAAGTTTAGTTTTGTTAGACATGAAGCTTATTTGGAAAGGGTATCTCTTGCTTTTTAATTTAACAAATAAGTTACTATTATTTCTTACAAATAGTACCATATCCAGTATATAAATACACGGTAGTGTCAATATTTTGACTTTTGGAAATATCGACCTGCAGCTCTCGGTTTGTTTCATTCTATATATAGCCCGAACGCATCTCTTTTGCGCTCTAAAGACCAACTCTTTTCCTACAGAGTTGCCCCAAAACATAACACCATACATTAAAAGAGGAGTAACATGTCCATGGTAAGCCATTAAAACTGTGGATGTACTGGCAGTTTTGGACAACATGTAGATCGCATATGAATATTGATTAAGTTTCGAACACAACATCTCTGTATGTGACTTCCACTTTAGTTGAGAATCAATGTTCAGTCCCAAAAATTTTGTTGTCTCTACTTCTTCAATTTTTGTTTGTGTATAGTAGATTTTCATGTCCGTTAAATTGTGAACTCTGTTTCGAAACGTCATTAATTTAGTTTTTTCCAAATTTATTTTTAAATTATTTAAAGTCAGCCATTTAATAATATTGTCTAAGGTATTGTTTATCTCCAATTCTATTTGAGTTTTTTCTTTTCCTGTAAATATAATTGTACTATCGTCAGCAAATAAAATAGTGTCATTGCTTGTTACTTTCGGGAGATCATTTATGTATATAATAAATAATAATGGACCTAGTACACTGCCTTGTGGCACACCAAAGTTATTGATTTTGTACTCTGATTCATAGTCACATACAATTTTTTTGTGAGGACACAATCTCGTTATGTGTGTACACTGTTTTCTGTTACCAAGATAGCTCTTAATAAGATCATGCGTATTTCCCCTGACTCCATAGGCAAATAACTTATCTAGCAATATATTGTGGTCAACATAGTCAAATGCCTTTGTTAGGTCCATATAAAGGGCGCAGGCATGATTTTTATTATCCATGTTTACCATAACACTCTTTAAAAATGAGAAAACTGCCATATTTATAGTTTTGTTCTTTCTGAAACCTACCTGCTCTTTTGAAAATAAATTATTTGTTTCAAAATAATTATTTAATCTTTGATGAATTACTTTTTCAAAAACTTTGGATAGAACCGGTACTAATGCTATCGGTCTATAACAGCTCATGTCATTTCTGTCGTGTTTTTTAAAAATAGGTTTGATTATGGTAAACTTTAATTTGTCAGGAAAAAGGCCATGATAAATGCATTGATTGATAATATGACTCAGTACATGTGATAATTTGATAGAAACATATTTTAATACTTTGGTTGAAATATCATCGTAACCCGTACTATTAGTAGGTTTTAAATTTAAAATAATTTTATTTATTTCATTCGGTGTTGCGGGTTTCATAAATATAGATTTAGATTCACTTGAGATATTAATTGGAGTTCTATGCGGGACCAATTTGGTGATTTGGTTAATATAATATTCATTAAATTTATTCGCTATGCTTATGGGGTCCTTAATTGTAGTGTTATTGATAGTAATTTGTTGTATTTCCTGATTTGGTAAATTAATTGTCCTATTATTAATTACAGTCCAAGTAGCTTTGCATTTGTTTCGAGCACTATTTATGAAATTGTCGTTTTTAACCTTTTGTGTGAATTTGATAACACGACTCAGTCTTGATGAAAGGTCTATAAAACTTCTTTTATTATTTTCTGTTGGGTTTTTCCTATATTGCCAAAGAAGCTGACGTTTACGTTTACAGCACTTTTTTATACCTTTCGTTATCCATTTCAGCTTCACTTTTGTGTCTTTTTTAATATATTTTACAGGAAAACATAAGTTATAGAAAAGACAGAAAAAATCATAAAAAATGTTAAACGAAGTATTTGGATCATTACTATTAAACACATCATTGAAACTCAGAGCGTTAATGCATTCTTTAAATTTATCTAAATTCTCTTTACAGTAGTCCCGCGTTTTAATGTACCAATATTTGATCAGACAACTTACTTTTACTGGACATGTAAGTACTTGTGCAGTGTGATCAGATAACGCAAGTTCCAAAACTCTTGTTTTACAGTCACGAACATTATACATGAAATTGTCAATACATGTGCCACTTACCAATCTAGTGGGCTCTTTTATTCCTATTTTCAGGTTATACGCATACAGAATTTCACTTAACTCAATAGTTTCCTTACTTTTTTTCAGAGTATTAATATTAAAATCGCCACAGAGTATTACTTTATTTTTTCCAAGGCAAAATTGATTTAATAAAGAAGTAAATGTTGCTAAAAACTTATTGATGTTTTCGGAGCTTACCCTGGGGGGTCTGTAAATGCAGAATATATATAGTTTATGTTCAGGTAATTGTATTCCTGAACATTCGATTACACCTTCAATCGAATATTTTTTTATGTTACTGATTGGTATAAACTTTTGTGAGTTATGTACCAGAATACAAGATCCACCACGACGATTCCTACGACTAAACACTGAACCCAATGAATAATTTGGAATGTTTAAGATATATAAATCACTACTAGACATATTGTGTTCGGTAATGCATAAAACTTTAACATCTTTTACACTTTCTATAGATTCTAAAGATGTAGTTAATAAGTCACACTTGTTTATGAGGCCGTTAATATTTTGATGAAGTATACTTATTTGGTTATACAAGAAAAAAGTTGGTAGAATTAATTTGAGAAGGTGTTTCAATTACCATGTCAGTTTGGGTGCTACTATTAGAAAAGTTATTACATTTTACAGGGTCGTCAAACATGTCAGTTTGGGTACTATTTTCAGTATAGGTCTTCTTATGTTTCGGTATGTCATTTAAGCTTTTACAGTATATCTCATATTTTAATTTATAATCCACACGTAATAATTCTTGTAGAAGTAACTGGCTTGTATATAGAGGAAAATATTTGCGCCTAGGTATCATGACAGAATAATTCATTTCAATATAATTAACACACTTAAATTCAGAGCATATAAATTTAATTTCATAATTTAATTTTCTTTCATTAAGATATTTGTTACGTGGTACTTCTGATACTAAAATATTGGGTTTGCTCGCATTGTTTAAAAATTGTCTAAGGAAAAACAATAGTTCACGAGGATTTTTATCATTAATTCCTCCAAGTATTATTACAAAATCATTGCTGTTCAATTTGTTTAACTCAGATTCTGCAGGCGCTAACACCTCTTTTAAAGGGGCTCCATACTTCGAGTAGCAAGTTACTATAAACTCATAACCAACCAAATTCTGCAGTGTTTCTCTTATTTTATAACCTTGTTCATCCGCTACAATAACAATTTTTCGTTTCCCTACTTTACTACCCTTTTCATGGGAATATATTTGCTCTTTACTTGCATACAGAAGAGGAGTGTCACAGTTTATTTCTGTTTTTTGTTGATTATCTTTTTGCAATATTTTATTTGAAAATGTAGTACAACAGGCAGGCAAGTTCATGGGTTTTTCAGACGGTATTGTCAAAATATTTAAGTTGTCATTATTTATCGCATTTTGTTCTAATTCATCTAAAGGTCGATTTGTTTTAGAAATTGGGGAATTATTTATACTTTGATCATCTGTTCCTGGGTTTGTTATTTGTGCTGGACTTTTTAAGATCTTATTTTGTGAATACTTTCTTTTGCGTCTTGGTGTAGGCGTCATACTTTTCCTATCAAATGTGTTTATTCTTTTGTATGAGTCTATTATTTTTAAGGACTTATCAAGGTCGGCTTTTAGACGAAAATTTTCGGAATTAAGGTTCTCAATCTCTTGATTAGCACTTAGAAGATCGTTTGTTAATGATTTAATTTTTTCGTTTAAGTCTTGCAAAGTTTGACTATTGTTGTGTAAGGTGTCAGGTAGACTCATTATTGTCGTATCAAAAATGCGTGATTCTTCGATGTTGGTCATGTCACTTAGTGAACTAGTTCTGTAAGGTTTTCGATATGTTATGTTTTCTAAATCCATGTTTCGTTGAGTCTGTTCTGTGTTGTATAATAATTGTAATTAATTTTGTTGTTGTTTATACGAGTATAGCACTTTACAAGCGAACTAATTATTTTTGATGTTCTCTTAAATTTATGATAACGAAGAAAAATCACAAAAAGTGTAATTGATGTTTTGTGGGATCCGAACTCACACTTCGTCAATTATGTGGTCAACACTTAATGCATCACGCTACCCGTTCATTTACTAACACATGTGAAATTGCTGTATAGGTTGTTCGTTGATAACAAATAAAAGTTCGTTAAACAGATTTAAAATTGTTCTGTAGGTCAAAGTCCATTCTTTTTGTTTAATGATGACCGCTGGTTTTTTTTCCGTTTTTTATCATTTGTCACTTATAACACTTATTGTTTATTTTAAATAGTATACATTACACTTTGAGCACATTATTTGAGTTTTATTAGGATTAATATTATTGCCTTTCACTAAACTTTGAAATGTTTTTGCTTGTAATTTGAGTAATTCTAGTCACACTGAAATTTTAATTTAACCACTGGAATCATGGATTTAGTAGCATTAAAATGAATACTAACACAACTTTAAACGCGAATTTTAACTAATTATTATGACTGTTTCTTTACGAAAACTAGGCACAAGAGAGAACGGTGAGCTGAAAGTAGGGAAATTTGGAATAGGGCAACGGAACCCAAGGGGCCAGCAGCTGGCCGACTTCATGGAGAAAGAGGGACTCTTTATGATGAACTCTTTCTTCCAGAAGCGGCCCCACAGGAAGTGGACCTGGTCGAGCCCCGACGGTTCGACAAAAAATGAGAGTGACTTCATTATGACGACCAGACGACAACTGTTCAGTGATGTCTCAGTGATCGCGAAGGTGAAAACCGGCAGCTATCACCGAATGGTTAGAGGCACACTGAACCTAAACGTTAAGTTGGAGAGGTCCCGTCTAATGAAGTCAACGCTCCGTCCCCCTCGTGCTCTAATCCAAAGTCCCGAAACCTTTCAGCTCGAGTTACAAAACCGTTTTCAGTGCCTAGAAGACTGCAATGAAGTGGACGATTTGAATGACAAGCTCGTAGAAACTGTCCATGCGGTCGGAGCTAAGTTCTGCAAGACCCGCCGCAGAAGAACACAAAAACTCTCCGATCACACTCTTAATCTCATGGCTGTTAGACGGGAGATGAAGCTACATTCTTCAACAGATTTGACAGCATACAGGCAACTGAACAGACAGATCTCCAAATGCATGCGGCGGCGGGACTTACGCAACTTCAATACAGCTTGTATTGAAGAAGCGATCGACCGGAACCAAGGCTCCAAAGTCTTTGCCAGAGATCTGTCTGCCAGAAAGAGCCAACTGTCAAAGCTGAAGACAGAATGTGGCAGCATCGTTTCCGGGACATCTGAGATTTTGAGTGAGGTTGAGAGGTTCTATGGGCAGTTGTACACGTCATCGTTGGAGCCACACGCAAGTGTGAGTAACGATCCAAGAGCGAGTCTCATCCGACATTATTCCGAAGATATCCCGCACGTCAGTCTGAGCGAGATTAGAATGGCTCTCCAGCACCTTAAAAACGGTAAGGCCCCAGGCGAGGATGGAATTACAGCGGAGCTTCTGAAAGCGGGTGGAAAACCGGTACTTGAAGTCCTTCAGAAGCTCTCTAATTCCGTCCTCCATGGTGGCATTACACCGGAGGCATGGAGCAGAGGTGCGGTGGTCTTGTTCTTCAAGAAAGGTGACAACGCTCTCTTGAAGAACTACAGACCGATTTCCCTTCTGAGCCGCGTCTACGTGCTGTTTTCGAGAGTCATTACGAATCATCTTGCGCGCAGACTTGACGACTTCCAGCCTCCCGAACAAGCCGGTTTCCGAAAGGGCTTTAGCACCATAGACCACATACATACCCTTCGGCAAATTGTACAGAAGTCCGAAGAGTACAATTTACCACTATGTCTGGCGTATGTGGACTATGAGAAAGCCTTTGATTCCGTCGAAATTTGGGCGGTGCTGCAGTCCCTTCAGCGGTGCCAAGTTGACTGTCGGTATATCGAAGTGTTGAAGTGCTTGTACAGTAGGGCTACGATGGCTATCCGAGTACAGAACCAGAGTACGAAACCTATCCAATTGCAGAGAGGTGTAAGACAGGGTGACGTCATATCCCCGAAACTCTTCACCGCTGCATTGGAAGACGTTTTCAAGCTTCTGGACTGGAAAGGATACGGTATCAACATCAATGGCGAGTACATCACTCACCTTTGATTTGCCGACGATATAGTCCTTATGGCAGAATCGCTGGAGGACCTAAGCACTATGCTCAATGACCTCAAGAGTGTTTCCCAACGGATAGGTCTTAAGACGAACATGGACAAAACAAAGATCATGTTTAATCTCCATGTCACACCTATGCCGGTAGTTGTTGGGAACACTAAGCTCGAAGTTGTTGACGAGTATGTTTACCTGGGACAAGTAGTCCGACTAGATAAGTCCAACTTCGACCGAGAGGTCAATCGACGGATTCAACTCGGCTGGGCAGCGTTCGGGTAGCTAAGACACATCTTCTCGTCAGACATACCTCAAAACCTTAAAACGAAATTGTACAACCAGTGCGTGTTGCCAGTGATGCCTTACGAAACTGAGACGTGGTCCTTCACTGCTGGCCGGATGAGAAAGCTCAAGGTCGCTCAGCGATCTATGAAGAGGGCTATGCTCGGAGTTTCTCTGCGTGATAAACTTAGGAATGAGGATATCCGCAGTAGAACCAGAGTAACCGACATAGCCCAACGGATTAGTAAGCTGAAGTGGCAGTGGGCCGGCCATATAGCTCGAAGAACCGACAACCGATGGGGAAGAAAGGTTCTCGAGTGGCGGCCTCGTACCGGTAGGCGAAGTGTAGGGCGATCCCCCACGAGATGGAGTGACGACCTGGTAAGACATGCAGGAAGTCGATTGATGCAGGTGGCTCAGGACCGTGCTTTGTGGCATTCTTTGGGGGAGGCCTATGTTCAGCAGTGGACTTGTGAAGGGCTGTAATGATGATGATGATGAAATATCATAGAAATTATTCAGATCTAATGAAGCCTCTAAATTGTCTTTAATTTCATTTTTTGGGGATTCTGCAGAACTCAAGTCAGCATCGTAATAGTTCTGAAATTCCGATTCAAATGATCCAGCAGAACTTGCGCATGATTGCATTGATAAATTATGGTCTTTATTTGGTTTTTGCTTATTTACTATGATTTTAAGGGGCTCTGTAGCAGGTCTTAGCATTTTATCTATGGATAAGTTCAGTTCATGGTCATTATTTTTCATTTTTTTTATTTTATTCTTTATGGAGTCCACAGACTTCATTAATTCCATTTTAATTTGCTTTTCCATAATGCTTTACAATACTTCATTCTATCGCGGCTACAATAAAACTAAATAGTTTTATCTAAAAAACTCGTTTATAATAATTTACTCTAGGTTAAAAAATATATCAAAATTCTTTCTATACCTGCCATTGTTTAACGGTGAATCTTTGTTAATACAAACAAAATTATACGGCTTACTCCAAACTATATTACAAATATTTTTAAATTGATTCCATAACATATCAGAACTAACTTGTTCTTCATAAATATGTTTTAAGTTCACATCATCTTGTTTAAATATTATAATAAAATTGGCATTGTCTCGTAGCCATTGTTTCGGAATTTTTGAGTAGGCCTGAGATAAATAAAAGCAATCTATTTGCTTATGCTTGACCATAGAAAAATAATTACGAATGTTGATTTGATTTTCACAAGCAACATCATAAAAAATAAATACAGAATTGTTTAAAGCTTCACTTGGACCTACAACGGCTTTGTTATAATTGAACTCATAAAATGAAATATTAGGTACTCTCTTAATTACTTCTCGTAAAAAACGATATTTTGGTTGATAGTTAGTTTTTGAATACAAGTAAAAATTTTGAAATTTAAGCCCATTTTCATGCAACAATAAACTTATTACAACGTTTGTTTTACCGCAATTAGAGGTACCGCATATTTTACAGCGAATGGTATTTGCTAACGCTTAGCGATATGGGTTGTTTGATCAACTTCATCGTGCTTATTGAATGAGTTACTAACCTACAAACATAGGTATATATTTAAATTTTGCATGAACAATATTAGAGAGAAATGCATGTCACATCATGTCTGTTCTGCTAATTGTTCTCCTATTCTCGTGTTACAAATTTCTTAGTAGATCTATGCTTACTTTGCAAAATAATGCTATTTTGATCTTACAAATCCTAAGTATATTATGCTTATTCTGTAAATTATACAATTCTCATCTTACAACACGCGATCACGTCATTTCGCTACAGTACTTTCTATAAAGAGCATGTTTGTTTCTTTAGCTGAAATTTGGAGTAAGTACTTTAAATGAAATATTTAAATAATAAAGTAACTTATTCTATTTTCTATTGTAATTCTAACTCTTATAAATGTAATAAAATATGTAACTTATACTCATTTTTGTTTTTCAGAAACATGTCACATACACCATCTTATAGTCCTGTTTTGGATAGCTTAGAAAATATACGTGAGGTAAGTTACTATTTAGTTTTTATTATTTTTATATCTGGCTTTCAGAATTTGATAGAAGACTCAAACCCAATTACTAATCCATTTCACTATGCTCAAGATAGGCAAGGCTGGTACGATGAAGTGGCGACAAAGACGTGCGAGCAGAGCCGTCGCCAAAAATCGGAGGAAAAAATAAAAAAGAAAAAAAATCAAATCAAATTCTTTGAAAAATACATCATTTATCATGCGAAAGGAAACGGGTGATTTACGTCATTTAATAAAAATTATAAAACATGATTTAGATGGTCGTAATATCGATGAAATAAATACTGAATCTGGAAATGCAGCTGTGAACGTGCAATATCTAGTGACAAGTGCATATGATGACATCATGGATGAGACAGAAAATTTAGTTTGTAAAGTGGTAAAAAAACTAAGCAAATCTAGTATTTAAGTTTGAAATCAATTAATAAAATGTCTATAAATAAATTGTTAATTTTTTCGACATTTATAACTCTGTTGTAAAAGTTAAGTGTATCTAAATCTATTGTTTTTATGTAATATTTAGTATTTAAGGATCTAATGGGATGATAAATAAAACAAAATATGATTATGATAATACAGTATTTTATTTCAATTTACATATAAAGGTTTTTATATTTTAGCTAGACTTATAATAACGATATACTAGTTACAATATAGAACATATTTGCAGTAAAAAATATTCAAAATAAAGTAATTTGTTTTCATTTGCATATAATGTTTATGTTTATAATTTTTTAATAAATTACTATTACTTTATTGCTATTTTAAATAAATCGCTATAATGTCCCCAAGGCAAAGTTTTATACATATCTTCACATATTTGTCGCTTATCATCATTGCCACTAAGAATGAGCTTATTTATTTTTTGCGTATAAAGTATATGATTCTTAGATCGTATTACGTACATAGTGTCTCTATGGGTTTTCTTAGAATTTAAAATATCTCTATACTTTTCAATAGTTTATTTTTTTGTAATATGCTTTTTCACACCTTTTGCTTTTTTAATTGCGGACTCTAAAATATTAACACAGTATAATTTTGCTTTCAAGTCTATAAACTCTGTTATAATATCACCACCTAATTCATCTTTAAAATAGCCTGGTATTTGTTTATTTGCTTTTGGAATATGGTATTTATTATTTTCAGGAAAGCTACTTGTATCAAAGTACTTAATATTATCTTTCATATCATTATAGAAGTCTTCAGTGTAAATTAAATACAAAAGACCCTCTGTATCAGTGTAACAAAGTTTGATATTATTATCTTTGTATATTTTCTTCATTATAGAATAATGAAAATTATATAAATGCCTTTTTCCAAGTTCCAAAATAGTAAAGCCCATATATATTGGGCGATCCAAGATCACTTTTGTTGGTCGGAGTTGAATGGCTACGAGGCTATCAGAAATGATTGTAAAATTTTTGAAATTAGGCGCACTAACATATTTTTCGGCACCACAGACTTTATTTGTGTTATTAAAATTATCTTTCCATACATTTACTAGCTTAACATCGACTTGTTTTCTTTTGTTCTCTATAGTTTCTTCAAAAATTGAACTGTTTTGTTTTTTAAAAAAGTCTCTTTCAAAATCAGATGTAGCATTTTGTCTTAAAGATGTATTTAGGGAAATATTTGCTAAAATCCTATGAATCTTCAATAAAACAAGTCCGTTTCTTAGGCATTCTTGCAGATGACGGTAATGGATAACATATTTATATTTATCATAGAGATTCGCAACCAATTTCTTATTACTAATGTTTGATGATATTGGAACTGTTAACTTTTCTGCTGCAAACAGTAAGTCAGAATGTTCATCATGAATATTGCGTTGATATTGCATGTCAACTTCGAGTATATATCCTTCATTACTATTAGAACTAATAGAGTTAATATCAAAACTTCTTAATTCTTTTTGTTTTAAAAACCGAAATTTTTTATAAGGTAGTTGCTGCATCATAGCATAACCATACAAACTTACACAATCTAAATAAACTAAGAAAGAATTTGGATCTTCTTCATTAAAATTTGATAAGTATTTGTTATTAGCCTTTGCATACCTTAACGAGCATTGAGATAGACCTCCTCTTATATCATTTTCTAAAAATTGATAAATTTGTATATCAGTAATTAAATCCAACTCATTCATGACCTGAGTACAAATATTTATCTGTGAAATAAATATCTGCGTCGACCGGGACTCGAACCCACGGCCCACAGCTTGGCAATTTGGGTCACTGACCAAGACGACAATTGTATTAATAAATTTAAATTGAACTTACCTCTAAATCAAATGCAAACGAAGACCTCTTAAGTCTTTTCTTTTTTATAGACTCAGCTTCCGATTCGCTATCTGAATCCAGAACGACTTTCCTCTTCTTAATATTACTATCTCCACAAGACTTTTTCAACGTTTTCTTTTGTTTGGATTTCGTAATGAGAGTATTACCATCATCCGAGTCAATCATCAAAATGGGTTGACAATTTTGCTAGCCAACGTCCTGAAAATCAGTGATTCTATAGTTAATATAACAGGTCATAGATCACTTGTACACATATTATTTTATTACATATTTATATACATAACTAGCTGACCCAAAGTTTCATAAAAAGGTCCAGCCGTGTGATCACTAACACTGTGACACGAGAATTTTATATATTAGATTATATAGTATGAACTCAATAAAAAAGAATAAAAATAATAAAAAGACACATACATACTTACAGGTTTGATGAACACGTTCGCGTCACTTCAATTAAAAAAGAAAATTAGGAAAGACTTGCAGCGCATTCTAGCTCTCGTTATATATGCAGAATTCTAAAGCCCATTACACAATAATACTTAGCCAAAAACTTATTATTATTTTTTGTTAAGTCACATTTATTACCATTCCTATGAATGCTCTGCATAAAGTCCATTAACTAAAAATTTATCATTGTGTCTACACCTTAACCTAATAATATGATACAGCTTACAATGCAGACGCCACTCTGACGCAGTTATTTGATATCAAAAATTTTTTAAGGAAGCTGCATTCATAAGAGGGTTCTTATTATATTGGTGTCTCTGGTTTTGTGTTATAAAAAACCAATAAACTTTGAGCTGTCTAACTTCTGATTTTATTTTAAGGTGTTTTTACATTTTTTTAGCTACTATAAGTATTACTTTTATTCTGATTAGATAACCAGATAAAACATTATTCATTAAAAAGTTTAATTTTGAAAGAAATAAAAACATGATGGCTCAATTTATGATGGTATTAGTAGTTTGAACTTCGTATCTAAATACATTTGAACTATCTAGTATGCAACAGGCTCCTACAGGTTAACTTAAAATCCATTTTTTGACTTTTCTGAAAGTTTGAAGTGAAAACTTTTCTATGCTCATCGATGCTTGATTTAGGTAAAATATTTTTGTATGCATTTACTGTATAAATAAGTTACATAAGTATTTTACGCCTTTCAGTCTAGTTGGTATGTAATAACATAATTATATTAAGGACATACCTACCTACATTGCAAAATTCCTTTATAGTGAACCACTTTTATTGCAAAACGAAAGTATTGTATAATTGTACCTATCAAAAAAAAGCCTTTCTATCGCTGGATTTGGCTGTAAGAAATAAAATATTTGACATAAGTTAATAAAATATAAAAATGTGTCAAATATCCATCTCTAGTACGCAAGTCCAAGAATAGATAGGATATTAAAAACGACTGCAAGTAGCGACCGCTTCTAGTCAACCAATTGACCAATATAAAAGAAATCTCCTATAATTA